TGTGTGGGTGTGTGTGTGTGTGTGTGTGTGTGTGTGTGTGAGAGAGAGAGAGAGAGAGAGAGAGAGAGAGAGAGAGAGAGAGATCATTCTATTTTCCCAACTCCTGGAGAAATCCATCAGGCTAGATGACAATGAAGTTTGCTAAACTAAAAATCCTGTAAGAGGGGAAGATTTCTTCAGGACTCACATAGGATACGGAAAACTAGTTCAGCAAATCATATTTCCTGGCATTCTGAATCATTGATACATAAGTACAATTTTCTATGTTCATAAACTGGAGGGTTTTTTTAATGAAATACTGAGTTAAAGGAAAGAGTTGCTGAATGCTATGAAAGGAGATCCAGAGTAAATAATTTCAGAGTTTCATTTCTGTTGAGTCACAATTTCGTCTACTTAGCCAGATTGTTTCTCAGTAGGTAGAATAATGACTTATTACAAAGGGAATGGCTACACACGATATTCTGCAGTGGCCCAGTGCTGCATGAGTCATTATGGCGTGCAGTTGCAATTTACTATCAAGAGGAATTAAGATTATATTCTTTCTTGATGCACGCACATAAACTCCATTAATACTAATGAAAGTTCCTCATGCACAGATGGGAGATGAGACTCCAGTGATTTTAAAATGAAATTCAAAACAGGAATTCAACTCTTTGGCATGAAGTAACACCTACCTACCTCCCTTCCCTTGTGCATGCATGCACACACAGACACAAGGTTCTTATCGTGTTTTTAGGGAGCCAGCTGTGAAACTCTTTATCTGGAAACCAGTGATGAGTCTGAGGTAGTAACTGTTCAGTCATTTTAAACCACAGATTACAATATATATGCATTCTGTGCATGAAAATTTTAATCCAAAGTCATTTCTAGAGCATTTAACAGTAAGTATTTAGGTAAGTATTTAGGATTGCACTGTAATTGCATTTCATATATGAAAAAATGAAGGAAGCAACTTGAACTCTTGCTATTTGTTATAGCTGTTCTTCATATATGAAAAAATGAAGGAAGCAAATGGAGATTCTTGAACTCTTGCTATTTGTTATAGCTGTTATGCCACTCTTACCTTTTTGACCAATACGTAAATGCTCATTTTCAAAAAGTTCTAGAACAACAAAAAGAAATGCCAGAAGTTCAAATACCATATAGCAAAACTGAAGAACTCTTAAAAAAATATATCACACAATCATTCCCCAATTTTGGTATCTGGTCTAAAGCGCAAAGACATTTAATTCTCAGTAAGAACTATTAAAACATCAGAACCAGAACATTCACACAATGTAAAATAAAATTTCTTCAAAATCAGACTTCCAACACTTGACTTAATTGCACTAATTTATACGCCACTTTTCTCCCATGAATGGAACCCAAGACAGCTTATAATATAGTTAAAAACAGTTTCACTAAAATATAGCAGGTTAGAAATACTAAAATATAAATTTATTTATTTAACTTATATGCCGCCCACTCTACCCAAATGTCTCTGGGCAGCATATAAATAAATCTATTATAGGGTTAAAACACTTTAAAACATGTGAATTAAAATATTAATAATGCTTAACCTTAAAAGTAAAAGAAAACTCACATATCTAATTAACATCCTGTAGAACAAGAGACCTCAACCCCCCATCCGCATCCCACTGCTGCTCCGTGGACTTCGCAGGACCAGGTCGTGGAGACAGATCTCACACACACATGGATGGTGGGCGTGGCGCACTCACACACATGCACAGGGTGAGCGGGTGCATTTGCAGATGGGCATGGTGCATTTGCGGGTGAGTGTGGTGTGCTCATGTGCCCCACTCACCCGCGAGCGTAGCACGCCCATCCGGAAGCATGTCACACTCACCCATGAATGTGCCATGCCCACTTGTGAGCGCAGGCGTTGTCCCCGCCCCCACGCATGGACCCCCCCAACCAGTAGGCAGTTCCGTAAAGGTTGGAGACCACTGCTGTAGAAAACTGTGGATTGAAACCAGATATATTTTTAGGAAATAATAAAAAAAGACAATAAAAAATACCTAGGTGTATGGTGGAAGAAAAACTGAAAATTGTAAAGGACAGAGGAGCAATCTAGGAACATTCTAGGCATGGCCCATGTAGCTGCTCTACAGATGTCCACCAGGTCAACTTCTCTAAGGAAAGCCATGGAGGACGCAACAGCCCTGGTTGAATGACCCTTTACGGTCATTAATGGCAGCAGCGTGTGAGCCGGCTCACATGTCAGGCGGATACTGGAAACTATCCACCAAGAAATTGTCTGTGATGTGACCGGGGATCTCTCTGAGTGACCTTGGAAGGAGATGAATAGGTGATTTGAAGAGCGGAAAGATGTAGAGCGGGAGACATAGTGGCAAGGGCCCTCCTGACATTCAGGGAGCACAGGGACCGCTCCAGATGTGATATTGGTGCAGGGAAAAAGGTCGGTAGAACTATTGGCTGGTTTAAGTGAAAATAGATGGCTACCTTAGGCACGAAAGAGAGGTCCAGACAGAGTGTCACCTTATCTGGGTGAAATTAAAGGAAGGGAGGGTCAACTCTTAGGGCCGCCAGCTCACCTGCTCGATGTGCAGAGGTAACAGCAAGAAGGAAAGCAGTCTTCATTGTGAGCAGTCTCTCAGATGTGTTAGCCATAGATTCGAATGGTGGACCCATGAGCTTGTTGAATACAAGTTGAAGGGACTACTGTGGAATCGAGGGTTTGGAGGCTGGGCGCAAGTTCTTCAAGCCTCGCAGGAACTGCTTAAGGGAGGGATGGCTTGCTGTCTCTGAAGAAAGTAGCTGATGTGCAACTATAGCAGCTACATACACCTTGAGAGTGGAGTGAGAAAGGCCCCGCCAGAAGAGGAGGAGGAAGAATTGGAAGACCGCATCCAGCAAGGTAGGTTGTATGGGTAAGTGGTGTGTGGAAGCGAATGTGGAGAAAACTTTCCACTTGTAGGCGTGCGTGAGCGTCATCGAGCGCCTGCATGCATGACTCAAAACATCAACTACCATGGGAACAGCCTACATGCTGTCAGATGCAGGGACTCCAGATCTGGGTGGAGCGTTTTACCCTGGTGCAGGGAGAGGACATGAGGCAACACCAGAAGCCAAATGTACAGTAGTCCATTGCATCCTGATGTAGAACGGAGAACCACGGTTGGCAAGGCCACCACGGGGCGATGAAAATGACATTCGCCCTTTTCTGTCATACCTTGATGATGGCCTTCTGGACCAGCGGTATCGGCGGGAACATGTAGAGGAGTCACTTGGACCAAGTGGTCATGAATGTGTCGCCCACCGAGTGAAGGCCAATTCCCACTCTCAAGCAACAGCAATCACACTTCTTTTTGGTTATGGAGGCGGAAACATCCAGTTGTGGCATGCCGCACAGATGACAAAGCAAAAGGAAAACATTGTTGTCCAATGACCATTCATGGCTGCAACCTTGGAGTCTGCTCAGTCGATCCGCCAAGGCATTCTCCTCTGAAGCCATGTGCACTGCTACCGGATAGACATGGTGGATATAGCACCATTCCCAGAGCTGAACCACCAGGCACAACAGGGGAAGGGAGTGGGTGCCACCCTGCCTGCTGAGGCAGTAAACTGCTGTGGTGTTCTCTGACACCACTTGGACTACACGGCTGATGAGAAGTTGCTCGAATACCCAAAAGGCTTTGGAGATCGCTAAGAGCTCCAGATGACTGATATGTAGCGGGACCTCATCTGCTGACCAGAGGCCATGCACCATCAGGCTGCCTAAGTGCACCCCCCAGTCTGTTGGGTTGGCATCTGTGGTTACCTGCACCCTTGGAACCAGGGGGCCAAAGGAACCAAGGTGTCAACTGTTGCTGGTGGGTCAGAGGTGTTAAAGGCCCTGTCTGGGCTTTCGGTCCGGGCGGCAGGCCTGCTGTTAAGTCCGCTGCCTGTCAGTCTGTTGACAATATGGACCCGAAGAAAATCTGGAGATCTGCAGCCTTTGACGGTCAAGATAAGGCCAGTAAGAAAAAGAAATGCACCACGAATTCCTAGGGCAATGCTGCTTGCTGGTATATGACCTAGCTGTCTTGTGTAGCTTGAGCGAGTTGTCCAGGATCTCATCGGTCTTATATTCAAAGAGACCTACCCCATCAAATGGTAGGTCCTTGATCCTGGACCTCACATCTTCAGAAATTCCAGCTGAGCACAGCCAAGCATGGTGCCTGAGAGTCACCGCCGTGGTAATTTGCTTGGATGCTGAATGCACTATGTGTCTCGCGGCTATCCTTTCCTGCCTTGCGAGGGCCATGGGCTCTTGGTGGCATGCGAGGACCAAAGCCCTGAGCTCTTCTGGGGTGGCCTGTAAAGCTGGCAAGGCGGGTTCCATAAATGGCGATGGTCAGCCCCCATCGCCGCTGAATAATTTTCCACCCTGAGGATAAAGGACGCTAAGGAGTTAATTCTACATCCAAGAATGTCTAGCTTCCTACTCTCCTTGCTATTGGGTGTAGATGCCGACTGATTTCTGGCTCTATTTTGTGTGGCATCAACAACAAAGGAGCTTGGACAGAAAGTCTCTGCTGTTGCCATGTGTCTTAAATAGGTTCTCTACCCTCCTGGGAATCTGATGTGATGTAGAGGGTTTGATTAGGAATGCTGGAAGAACAACAGGGAAACACACTATCTGCCCACAAGAAAACCCAGAAAAGATGGAAACAGTATACAGAAGAGATAAAAGGATGACAAACTCCTCTGAAGAGGAATTATATGACAAAGAACCTGCAATTCTAGAAAGGGAAATGAAAGTTGCTCTGAAAGCACTGGGAAGAAACAAATCACCAGGAGTAGACAGGATACTGATAGAACTATTTCAAGTCACAAAAACTGAACTTATCAAGATCCTAACAAGAATATGTCAACAAATATGGAAAACAAAATAATGGCCCACATATTGGAAACACTCAATATACATTCCAATTCCCAAGAAAGGAGTTGCCAAGTAGTGCAGTAAATATAGGATCATTGTTTTAATTTCGCACACAAGCAAAGAGATGCTCAAGATGTTGCAACAAAGGCATTTGTATTATATGGCGTGAGAAATGCCTAGTGTTCAAGCTGAATTTCAAAAAGGAAAAGCTGCACAAGATCATATTGCAAATATCTGTTGACTACTGGAGCACCCCAAAAAATTTCAGAAGATTAGTTCTCTGCTTTATAGACTTACAGCAAAATCATGAGAAACTATGAATCATGAGAAACTATGAGTTGTTCTGAAAGACATGGGTATGTCTCAGTACTTGATTGTCCTGATGTGTAACATGTATCATTAAAAAGAAGCTGTTATTAGGACAGAATATGGAGAGAATAGTTTCTTATACGCAAAGACAAGGGTGTATGGTTGT